GTACCCTGTGTAGGACTGGTACTCATTGCCAGTCAACGATGTGGCATTTCTCCTTTCGCAGAAAGGGGTTTCAGCACTTAAAGAGAAGTGGTCTCCTTCCCCTCCCACATAACTGTTGTGACATGAAGGTTTGGCTAGGCATTATCCCCGTAAAGGAGGGGGCATGTGTAGGGGCATGGACTGGAGCGCAGTCAGTGTGAGATAAGATGCCATTCAGAGCCCGCCAATAGGTCGGGAAGGCTGCCCCGACTGCGCTTCAGTGCAATCCTCTTCACACGCCCTCTCACTTGCAGGGGTGATGACTGTCTGTGTACCAGTTCTATACAATTGTACGCAAAGGTTTACTTCAAGCGAATTTGTTTCAGAATAATCCGATCATCTTCGATATTCCCGTCCATCCTCACACGAAGCAGTTCTACCTGCAAAATGTGAAGAAAATAATAAAACGGTATCGTCGTGCGGAGAAAAAGTGACGAGACAACGACGGGAAGTTCATTGCGCTGGATAGATGGAAATCGTACGCGACACGATGATCGTCATCACCCAGCTGCAGCACATTTCACTTCAACCTCATCGATCAGCGTTGTACAGAATTCTCTCAATGCTCAGAATCTTTAATAAATCCTTATTTCAAGAATCTCGCAACAAAAAAAAAAAAAGAGTCAAGGAAGGCGGATTCACTTGGTGCATTACCGCCGCTAACTTACCACTTTCTGGCATGAACTACATAGGGTTTCCGTTGCAGTCTCTACGAGAAGAGATAATTGTAAGTGATCGTAGGCCGCAGTTGTAAGTGATCAAGGCCCACTGCTTTTGAGGTACGCAATAGTTCATAGAACACCATTCAGGATCATTGAACGCCCACTGAATATTCTAAAATTAGGTTGAACGAAGCGATTCCATCCATTCTTCGGCAGCCCGTGGCTGCCACTATCCGCTATAAATCTCAGATTATCGATGGAGATTGATGAAAGAGTTGTGAGCTTCCGGTAAACATCTTCAACTGATCAATCAAATGATCCTTGGCAACTACACAACAACGTCTGATCCGACATCTGAAAAATGATTCATTGTTAAACCAGACAA